AGAGGCCACCGCAAAAGTTTTCGACCGACTCAAAAAATCAAGGAAAATATAGGTGATTATCATCAAAAACACCAAACGATGTATTGATCATATACGGAACAACAATAAACAATTCTCTGCCAATTTTAGCCTTCCAGACGAATCTTGAACCAGTTCACCGGCCACGTAGGAAAGAACGCTTGGCTGACTTGGGAGGGGGAGGGGGCCGATCCGGGGCTTGGCCCTTATACCGCGCCAGCGGTAAGCGGGCCCGATGCCACTACACCACCCAAAATGAATCGATGCTTCATTTTCAAAGTGGGCTGAAAAACCGTTCAAAAATGCTGGCTGTGCAAACTGCTTAGATAAGCTTGCGCTCAAACGGCTCCGTGGAAAAATGAACTAATCATGGTTTGAAGGCGACAAATCCGGTGGGTACAGCGGGTGTTCCAGTCAATCCCATACCGTTTACACGAAGTTTGCCTAGATCCAACGCACAGCGTGCAGTAAACCTCCGCACTCAGAGTGCACCTTTCATTGAGGGTTCGGTGGATGAGCTTATCTAGGATCTAAACTGGTCAACATCATTCTGGACTGATGAAAAATCGGTTTGAGTTGTTCGAGCTGTGAAGAAATAGCTGCTGATTGTCAAGTAGTGGATTAACAAGTGAAACCAAAAGAAAACTGTGCATTGGACAGAAAAAGAACATTTTTCTTACGGCAATTTTGCACCTAGTCCGAATACTTATGCAACAGACTTATATAAAGCTCAAGACCAAATGCCTAAACCGGCGGGCTTGAATATTCTAGATAGCTAACCTTAATATCTTCGTTCGATTGAAAAACGGCCTCAGACCACCCCAGCGCATCAATTTGGCTGACGGGTTCATAGAACGTGCTTGAGACCTGTCGTTTCTCGTTGTTAGCGCGAACGAATAGATGAGGGTCTGACCGACAAGTCGTACACGGTGGGCTATATGTGAAGTCTGGAATCAGGAAAATTAGCGCTTTCTTACCTTTCTACCATACAGGAGAGGTAGAACATTTTCTGAATTGGAGTTCCGCCTTTCATCAGTAATCAGGCCAGAAAAGTGCAAAAAAAGCAGAATAGCGGGAATTATATGCGATCATTTCACTGACGGATAGCGTCGGGGATTCGTTTCCGTTGGTCTCCAACCCTCTGCTACAAGGAAATGCTAAGAGAAAATCATGTATTACCAGAAACCATTGCAGCAGTCATCTATGAGAGGATAACGACCACCTCTAACCCACCCCATATGCATATTTGCAACGTTCGGAGATCGAAAATTGGAAGTCGTTACGAGGTCACCAGAAAGACTAGAACAATTTCTTTCTTGTTTCTAATTCGAATAAACGTGCTCACCTTGGGGTCTGTGTACAAACTAAGGTATTCCTCCGTAAGCTGCTCCCATGTTGGATCGTTGAAGACAGAGTATAAACGCAACAGAACTGATATTAAGCTCTATGGTGCCGGCAGCGGATCAAGATACATCCAATAGATCACCCGTGTAAGAAGCTTGCAGGCTGACTTCGGACGTAGGAAAGACATTATAGTCACAGAGCTTCCAAATTCTACAAAAATGTTTTAATTTACTTGACTATCAGCTGTCAGTGTCTATCAGCTAAGTATGTAGAAACGAGTAAATTTGCGAACAAACTTCGTTTCACAATGCTCCAGAACTGTTTCCATCGTGTACACATCATATATTTGAGCTGCAGTGCGAAATCTGCCATTAAATCGCTTGGAATGGGCACTTTGCCACGGGAAAATACTGCCAAATCGTCTGAAAAAAAATGATATAATATAGGTAATTTGGTCTGGTCTAATTTGCTAATTTATCGAGAAAACTGGAGGAATTCTGACTTAAAGAGTTAGTCAACCAGAATGGAGAGTTACAGAGTACTAAAGATTTGGATTCATCGAAGGAAAATGCTCCTTATGATAACCATATCCTTGCGGAGCCTGTAGCTAAATCCATGAGGCACTTATCCACTAAAAGTAGCTCTCAGCAGCCGATTTGGCTGCTTAGACAAGCTACTCGGATGAGCAATGAGACGGGGACTTATCAAACGACATGCGGTTTCACCATCCACTCGCGGTCCTGCAATAAAAACGTGGTTCTCAAGGCTGTGAACGAGTCAAATATCACGAACGGCAGTTGCAGGACGATGCCTCAATGGTGGATTTTATGGACCACGTATTGTCAGGGAGCGTCCCACCGTTGGAAGAACGACCCCACCTCTACGAAGTTTCTTCCTTTGGTAAGATCCCCTCTCAGCCTGATACCAACTTCCTGAATTTTATGCACTACTTCTCCGGAGTTTTTTTCCTTGAAAGTTCCAAAAACTTCACTTTACCACTAAAAAAGCTGTGGAGTAGAGGGGGTGGACTATGGCGAGGCGTATTTGAAACAGGAGAAGACAGAGATCATCACTGAAAGCATTTTTCACACTGGCAAACGCAGACCCATCCCCTCAAGCGACCAAATACAGCACTCCCACCCTCCCCTAGAGATACCCCACGTAAGACGTGCTCTGCCTACTATCTATCGCACATAACGATTGCAATTTAGGCGAGCGCCTCACAAACCGCTGGAAACAAAGCAAGACTCACCTTTACAAAGAGATTTCTGGTATTCAGTGCAGTCATCATTCTTATCACGTTCAATATGAACTTATCCGGCAAAGACAGAGGCATTCTTGCAATCAAATGTGAACGAGGAGATCCAAATTCTCTTTTTGACATGCCGTACAGTCGCACAGAAACCACGGTCATTCCTACTTGTGAACGAGATCTTCCAGAAAACGTTAATGTGATGTTCCTATGGTCACTGGAAATAAGATAAATCGCAACTATCAAAATTAGATAAGACTAGGCTAAAGTAACATAAGCAAAAAAAACCATACAGCTCGAGCGACTGCGTCCGGGTGAAGCGAATGTCGAAGAATCGGGCCAGATCTGTCGTCATCGTTAGAGGATACGTCTTATCGCCAATTGAAACCTTGAAAGTTGTTAGAAACTTGGCTTGGGACTGAACTCAGAAAAATTTCTCAAACCAACCTCAGAAGGCCCGCGACCTCGCTCAGACGGTAATTCAATCCGAACGGCACGGACTATTATGTTTGGATCTCCAACACGCATTGTAAGAGCAAATTGCTCTTTCTGAAAAAAAAAACAATAAACGTCGTAAGCTAAGAAAATAGGTTTGAGGATGACATCACCTGGATCGCCGTAACGGGCATCGATCCAACTGAACTAAGTCGCACGTTGAGGTCATGAACGTCGTAGAAAATGGCCAAATCTGGGCAAGAAACCTCGACTCTATCAACAGGTTCACAACGTTCGAACAGCTGCAAAGAATGGATCAGAAACTAGTAAAACCAAATGGCTCCTCTCCAAAATCATACCGTTACGAGATCGCTGTCTTGCAACTCAGCCTCAGGTTCTTCCTTTTCCTTTTCAGCTTGGGCGCACATCTCACTCGGCATATTTTCTATCCATAAATCTGGCAGAGTAGACCATCTCCTATAAACTACCTGAGTGTATCCCACAATACCTTCATGGGTATTTCGACAGTTATGAACTGACTCAAAAAAATGAATCATGCAACAGTTCCAAAAAAACTCACGCTGAGAAGACCAGGTTAGTCGGCGAGTCGTAGAAAAGTGGCAGTGAATATATGATGTCTGCAGACGATCCGGTGAAAAGGGCATGAGCAAAAGCCGACCGTTTCAGCTGTATTCTCTGCAACCAAAGGAATACATAAAAAAATCAATTTTCTCTTGAAGCACAAACATAAGTATTCTGCCGGTTTAGGAACGAGCTGTTCCCTTCGAATTCTCGATACGATCCTAGTCATTTATCTCTTTTGTCGGTATGAGGAGAATGGATCCGCAGCAGCGTGCATTAGGTCAAATGTGCACCGGGACGGCGAGAGGGTAGTGATGCCCGGATTCCGCCTCCGTACCCGGCCCGATAGCCAGCCGTCGCGCTTTTCCCGCAAGCGTACTTCTTTGCCTCACCACGTCTGATTTTTGATTTGCTCTGTACCGAATGAGAGCAGTTTTTCGCCGTAAGGCCCTGGAATGGAGGCTGGAAAATAGGCGCAATGCGAAGCTATAGATACCGGCAGCTCAGTTCGAGGTCGGTACTACTACCCTAGAAACCCGGTCCCCTGCCACTTTTGAGTCGCCGACAAATAAAGTGTTGCTACCGCACTACCGCAAAAGCAGAGCAGAGCCATTCGCCTCTGTGTGTACAGTTTGTCCTCAAGGTTCAGTCAAAATATAGTACTAAAAAACACACCTGAATGAGAATCTGTTCCAGCGTAGGATAGACAAATACCAAAGATGAAGCGATCGGATACGAAAAGCAGGCCATCACTCCGCTCGATTCTTGCCAGCAGTGAACAGGAGTTGTCATTTCCAATCTGAACTCACCTTCAATAGTCTTAAGATGCCTCAAGTAAACCCCTAAAAATGACTTTACCTGGGTCAGTTCAAAGACGGTAAACTCTTCTCTTCCCAAGATCTCCTTTTTCAGATGGGTATTGGACAACCTAGGTACCTTTCTCCAGTGATAAAAACAGTAACTCGGAGACAGATGAGTAATGTACCGATCTGAAACGAAACTTCTTAGTTACCCTTGATCAGGAATTGAACCTTGGCAAATGTCAAGATGTACACTCCAGCTCCCAGAATCTGCTGCGTTTGCGTGGGAACAGAGAAGCGTAACTGCGGTTGTTTTTGGTTAATACGAGACGAAGTGTTGTCTGCGCTCCTTGCGTCAAACTGCCCACAACAGTTCTATAAACCATTACAATACTTAGCCAGTACAAATGCTACTAGATCGATACCCTGTTGTTTCTACAATAGTCAGAGTGCTCTACGACATCAGGCCACAATCTCGTCAGTAGTGTAACTATGAATAGCCCTCTATATCTTCAACATTGCCTGCAAAACACGAATTTCTTCCTATTACAAGAAGGGTTAACAACGGACGATAACGAAAGTCTGGAACAGATATTCCGTAGGGACTTTGATCTCATACGGGCATTGCACTATTGGACAGAGCGTCGCAGTACATGGGTTGAGAATGTTCGGCGCGAATAACACTTTTCTACGATTATACCCAGTTGCAGTCTTCTTGTTCGGTTGCAGGGGTGAGGTGTTTCAGTGAAGAAAGAGGAGGCAGGGGGTCATGGCGCAGCCAGCCTGTTCGTCAACCAGTTGAGGCAGGCGACCGCTATTTGGTAGAGACTTGAGTGATTGAAGTTTGCTGCCGCGCTCTAAACCCAGCTCCACTGAAACGTCCAATCGTTTGGCCAGCAAGGGGAGCTGGTAGAGAATTACGAATACGACCTTTTTCGAATGGGAATTCTAATGTGATCGCACGGCGCTTTCCAAACCATCGCGCTTGCTACGCTGGATATGATTTAACTGCGCGTTGACCAGGGTACACATGAAGCTTGGCTCGATGCTGTGACCATCTTTGGAGAGATGGACTTCCAATACAGTTGAAAACCCACCTACTGGAAGTACCAACTCTTCGACAAAATTATCAGCATCAAGAGCGAGATCGTATATTCGTACAAGTTGAACGGTAGCCACTGCCAGAAGAGCTGGGCGATGTGGTGCCCATAAAACCTTCATGAACAGTAATGAAAACAAGAGCGGAAACGTCATCAGATGCAAACTGCAAAGCAGGTTCCACCTTCACTATCGGGAATTACTGTGCGTTGAGCGGGTTAGACTGTAAGTTCCGGTGGTCAGTTCAGTGAGCTTAATAACCATACGATCAACAATCTCTCCATCCTTGCTCATACGAAGCGTGAGAATATCGCTAGGACCAGCCACCGCTACCTTATCATCACGGCAAGAAACTTGACGACCAGCAAAACCAATTCCAATTGGTTCAGAGTCAATTCGCTGAAAGACGGTTGGTAATAATAGTTGTCAGAGACATGTGGACGAGATTACATCCGAATGCTGAAAAGCAATAAAACTATAAAAAGGAAAGGGGACGGATTGGGTTATTAGCGTATGATAACAGTTGGATATTCTCCCTATAAGCAGTAGAATCTTCTCTATATGAAAATGTGTATGAAAGAGAGGAAAGCGGTACCATATGCTCAAGTTCATCGACCAGACTCTGCCCTGGATGCATGTGGAATATCTGTAGAGTCGTTGCATGTTCAGCAAGCATGAACCACAAATGGCAACCATTTTCTGAAAAAAATATCTGGCTATGCTGAGAAAAAGCGAAAGGTTGAGGGATTAAAGGCAGAAAAGCGATATCAATCCAGAACGAACCAAATGGCAACACTTGACAGATATCTCTAGCCTTATTCCTATCGGTTGGCGGTTCAGGAGGTCTTCTTGGTTCCAAAATACTATTCGGCTTTCCCGATATTTCATAGTCTTCCTGAAAATTTCGCAAATGCACTTTGATACCTCAAAAAATAGAGACCCGTCAAGCAAAAAAATGATTCCCACCATTATCGCCTGATCATATACCACATTGAGACGCTGAGGATCAGCCAGCGACCGCCGCACATTGTCGCGACGTTCATCAAGTGACCACCGAGAATCACGAGCATGCAGAGAAGCGCGTATGATTCGCTCGATCACTTCTACACGACTTTCAATACCAGCTCGAACGCGGTCCTTAAGTGTAAGAACTGTTTGAGCTCCATTAAAAAAACGAGGTGGCAGAGGCACTTTTCTAAGCCTATCAAAACTCAAAAAGTGGAGCAAAAACTCAAAAAATAAATGAAAACCGGTACGGCGATGCTACAGCCAGTGCAAGTCGTACGTTGAGTATCCTCAACTAGGGAGGGGGTCGTATTTAGTCGCTGGAGGGAAGGGGTTGAATCGGCCATTGTGAGAAGCACTTCCGGTTGTTGCCTTTTCTTAGTTTTTCCGGCTTCAAAAGCGCTATATACCCACCACCCCTTTCCCCACCTCAGCGGTAGTTTTCTGGGGAAAAAGCAGAGAAAATTTAGGAAACAACCCGAAAAGTGGTGAGAAGTTGGGAAAGTTTAGTTAATAAGATTGTAAGGTAAAAGGGAAATGGTGAATGGGGTCGCATCTGAGGAATAAACTGTGAGAGGGACTCGTATTTTGCCAAAAATTCTCCTCAATGGCAGGAGTGCGCTATATACCCACAACCCCCCTTCCCCACCTCAGTATTGATTTTTCAGGGGAAAAAATAGAGGAAATTCAGGAAAAACTCCCGAAAACTGGTGAGATGTTGAGAAAATGTGCCCTGTTTCCTGTTGTCAACTGTCATCATCATCTTGGTAAAACGTCACCAAAAATTAAAGCTTGGCCAAATGAGGAGAAATACTTCCAGACGAGAAGACAAAAGAAAATCAAGTTCATGAAAAATATCACAAAGCAACAAACCAGAAGTTCCAGCAGCTCTGAAGAATCCACAGTCGTATCGAGATTAATGTCGAACGAAACTGGTGTAGTAGTACCACTGTCGACTGCCTGAAGCAGCAAAACAATGGGGATTGATGCTTGCTTGGAACTAGTTATTAGTGTAAAAAGAAGCGCACGGTATGTACAGCAGGTGCTGTTCTTCCACGGGCAGCACTTATTGGAGAATTATGGTACACGGTTGCCTTCAAAGCGGAACAACCACCAGCTCCACAGTCACAGAAAAACGAGCCTTGCTTGCTTAAAAAAGGGATAAAGTAATAACACATAACCAATCGACACTGGTCTCAAGCATACCTATATGACAAGTCGTGTCCGCGATGACAATTGACAGCACAAACGCTGCATACTCCCTTATTGTCAGTCATTCTTACACGTGTGGCAATTGTACCAGTGCTGATGTACAAACTCTGAACGATATGCAAAATCAGGACGACCGAAAAAACTGAACCCGAAACTGATGGAACGAACCTTTCTCAGTCGCCGCGTATGTACAGAGCGGAATGCTATTTGACCGACGCTGCTCATCATTTTTCGACGCCTTCCACTGTTGGGAGGGCAGTCTGGACCACACTGCGTGTTACTATATTCTGAAGCCCTACACAAAATAATTTTGGACAGTTTCAGCGAAAGACGATTGTGTGTTGACCTTGCCAGTGTTTCTTGAATTCGCTGAACAACAAAAAAATATATGTTTCGTACTGTTGTATGGTTCCCTGTGCTTACCAAGTTGAGAGCAATATTCGAGCAGATTCGAGACAACCATCAGTCGAAAAACAAGCCGATTTCCGTTCTATAACAAATATCACGAGAATACAAATCAATGGACTTAGTTAAGCAGGACGGGCAGCAACAAATGGTCATTTTAACGTTGTCATAATATTCAATTACAATCAATTATATCAAAAATGGCTAGAAACCGGCACAAAGTTTGCGGAGACGAGGGTAAGAAATAGTTTGGATCCCATCGGATAGTTGCTTCCTTGCAGACTTTTATCTAATGCTCCAGAGATAAGCAGGTCATCAAAAGTGCAAAAAATCAACACAAACAAAATACTTGAACTAAATCTACCATCCTATAACTGGAACATTTGCCCCAGAACAGGAAGTGCAGTCTTGTTCGCTGCGGAAGATGGGCGTGTCTGGGGGATAAGTTTGGGCGACGCCAGTTCGTTTCTTTTCTTTCCCCTCTCGGCAAGCGACAAGACCTTTTCCTATCGTAAGTAGATCGACTGTTGTCACATATCTGCATTAACGAGTGGTCGAAGAAGGGCTGGCGGTACTACAAAGTCAGCTTCACTTCCACGTCCCATGATCCGCCGCGAACAAGACTGCACTACTAGAGCACCTCCCAACGGGAAGAAACTCACCGTTAACAAGGCCTGTCCGCGCATGACATTCTCCTCCTCGGTTGAAACTTCAATCCACGACGCCAAGTTCTCTGCACATTGACGAAGTACCTGGAGCGCAGTTATGTCAAGGATAAGAAATTAGGGAAGAGAAGAAGTATAGGATTCGAATGATAAATAAATAGGAAAGGAAAATGGCCAATTAGAAGACTGGTGAAGAAAACTACCTCAATGTGAGTTTCAGAGTCAGCATGATTACAAATCACCATCAAAACCTCATGGAAGACATCTTGTCGACGTTTTAGAGGCACGAGACTTGACGGACGGCTGCGATATTCCGAGGCTGAAAAGGTTCCCTGTCAAAACCACATCATTGCTAAGGAACATCATCATGATTTTTTGACAGTTCCAATTGTTTTTAATGACCATTAAGGAGTGAATTAGGCAACGGTAAGATGTTTTAAGGGGGGGGGGGAGGGTTGAGATAAACTGTTTTGTTTCTCAAACGCCCTCAGATGGAAACTCAATACTAGAGAGATCCCTCCTCAGTGCTCATCCGTAAAGCAGGGGAGAAAAATGATTTCCAATCATTAAAGAAAGACGATTTTAGAGAAATGTCTTAATCTCTGGAATTTTTCTGGAATCATCACTATAAAGTATCCCAATATGAAATATGATAGATTTCCAGTTAAGTCCGGATAAAAACACACCTAGCCTTCCAGTCCAGGTCAAAGCAGTTTGCGCTAAACGATCGGTTGATTGCACAGTGATAGCAAAGAAATCATGCAGATCCTCAATCAAAGATGGACGTAGTATCGCCGCAACGCTATCACGCATTGCACAATGCATAACTTCAGCATCAACCTGGAAAAGCTAATGCTGAAATCTAAACAAACAGAACAAAACCCCAAATACATAGTAAAAGTTGACAACTAAAAAGTGCAAAGAACATTAAAATTGACACTAACATGCTCCTTTAGGTCCTGCAGGATGGGAGCAAAACTCAGAATAAGCGCACTCGGAGCATGCGAACAACGAAGCCATGATGGTAAAAACAGAAGACGACCCGCTAGCAGACAACGTAGTTGTTTTGACAATTCCGATGTCGAATCTTAAAAAGATACTACTTACTTCGAAGTAATCCTGTTCCCAAACTCTTTTTGACTTAGACGTGCTGAGACAATATGAGGCTCGCTAGGAGTTTGTTTCGAAGACTATAAGAAAATTTCCTTGAAGCAGCGTGCCCTAATTACACGGTAAGCCTTTGGTTCCTAGAGCTTTCAAGAAGCCATTCCATAACTCAAAAACTGTCCACCGGCTTAATAGTATCGCTGAGATAGAAAGCATTCCTTCAAAAACTGTCAGATTCTCCTTGACCCCTCCCTCCCCCAACGTCTGTGGTAGCAAGACCTTATCGACCTTAAAGAAGCAAGACATTGTCGACCTTAAAGGCAGTTGGCACGATAAATCGCTATACAGGTGTAGGATTTACAACTGGCTCAATAGAATTCCGTGACCTTGGACAGGCGCTGCGTGAAATCTTTTCCGCAAAGAGGGGTACCTGCTATAACGCGCCTATCTTGAGCAAACAACTTTACGTCCCAAACGCCTTCCTTGCCCGCCCGCCCACAAACGGACGACCGTTTCTGACGCTCGTATTCATTCATTTGCTAAGCAAATTATGAAGCGAGGGACTTTATGAAGCGGCGGTGATGCTGCATGCATATATGGGTACACATATGCAGCCGTATCTTCGGTAGCGGTGATTGGCAAGATGCGTACGGGAAACTCGTCCGAAATCGATTTACAAGTCACTGAGAACGGAGGCTTTTTCTTCGCCGGATTTTGACCGTTTCACTCCGTTCTTTCGCCATTTCCCCACTATACAGCGCCCTACTAGCATTTTAGGCTAAGTAGGAAATTATCGTGCCAACTGCCTTTGAAGACAGCCCGTTTGCTAGAAATGCCAGGAAGCAAAAGCTCACTGCAAATGTAGGAACATTTCTACAGCTCCCAGAAAAGTCCCTTATGCCACACTAGACTACAACAGAACTCGTTTTGCAAGTCGAAACATGGACGGAAACCCACCTTTGTGGAGCACATTCGATAACACCTGTATGAAGGCGGGTGTAAGAGCCGTTTGTTCTGAAGCAGACTCCCCGGAAGCGCATCTATCCAATGTGTCACCCAGGGCGATAAGATGATCCTGAACTCATATGCTCTATCACAGTTGAGAAAAAAGGCAGCAAAAGTGATAGCTGGTGCAGCTTCAAGTTGAGGCAAAGACTGTACCTCAATCCATGAAGGCCGAACTTTCTCACTACATAAAACTGCTTCATAGAACGAGCAGAAGATACCAAGCAGAGGTCTGAAAAGGCAAGGCTCAGTAAACAAAAGCATCCCTGCCATTCTCTTCTCTAAATAAAAATCTGATCTCACTTCTTCTCGAAATTCTGAGCAGCTTGAGCACTTGTCGCTCCAGCGAGAAGTGTTTCAGCCAGATAACAAAAACGAACTTCCGCAGCATTTTCCGCTCCGAGCTGAACATATTGAGATAGATGCTTGTCAGAAATGGTGAGCAGAATGAATCAGTTTTAACGTATCATAGACTGCGAGGGTGAGCTCAAACTTTGCGTCAATGTTTTGAGCGTACGCCCGCGTTTGAGCGACTAGGAGGGTATAGGTGTCGATCTAGCATTTTAGGCGTGCGCTGGTGTACGGTAGCGCTGGTAGAACTACGGATCGACACCTATACTCTCCTTGCAGCTCAAGATGTTGACGCGAAGTATGAACGCATTCTATACAGGAGGCACATTAGTAAATAATGTTGAGAATGAAGCATAACTGATAGAGAACCTTGCTCAACTCTTGCTCGGCACGTTCTGCTACATCTCTAGTGTACTGTCCACTGCTAGCAACACGTACCACCCATTTAACTTGTACTGCATTTATGACGTCCTTGTCGGGTCTAGAAAAAAAAGGCAATCGCTGCTTCAAAGTAGCGTCAAAGAAGACATGTGTTGAAATACTAGTGGGAAATTTGCAACTTGTTCAAAAGAATGTGAAATGCCCGGATGACGGACGCACCTGTTCTTCCATTTCTCCTGTACTTCGTGTAACAGGAGTGTGGCTATTTCGTGACGGAGATGCTGGTGTAGAAGATATTCGTCAACATTAATGGGTGGGTCGAGAAAAGTGTCACCATCTCCCTTAACAAAGAATGTTCTCATCAATCTGAATAGATCTGGCAGTACATATCATTTACTGCCGCAATGATGCATTCTATGAGTGTACACAGAAACAGAACCAACTGCAGATTAAGATTTCCATCCAAACTTTTCCCACGAAGATAGATTCAGTCAAATATTGTCCATTCAGAGGGAGTATAACCCACAGATAACGAAGGCGATAAAACATTCGCCCCAAAAACGTCGCGAAAAAACGTCGCGCCACAGGCGCTCGTACTACAGACTAGCTTTGGAGCCGCGCCAGGTGTTTCCGCCGATATGGTATTCATGTTCGGAAGAAGACTACCCCAAGGACATGATTCTAACTAAATCCACACTAAAGGGAAATTCTCAACCAAACTCGGCATTAATTTCGACAAGAGGGTCAGTAAAAGGCAAAAAGGCCTGGCGCTCTAATTCTCATGAAGAAGTCCGCTATCCTTGTAACGTCCTTACACTTTTCATCGAAGACAAGCTGAACACTGCTCAGTGGATCCTGGCCTTTTCATGTGTGAGGTGAATGGGTCCAGAGGCGGCACTAGCGTGCCACTTTCTTTGCGCTGAAGTGCACAGGAACGGGACTGGAGTGTATTGGTACCCGAGATTGTTGACTGCACCTCAAAGACAGCCCCCGCGCTCGAGTAGTACATGGTCGTCCTTCCTTGTGCAAGTAGTTCAGCCCCCAAGCTAGAGACTGTCCCACTCTCGCGACTCCACAGCGAGCGAGGAGCGAGCTACAGCCGCTGAAAGTTCTAGTTCTAACGCCCGCCCAGTTGGACCGCCCACTTGCTAGATGCCCTCTGACGGAGAGCCGCTCAGTTGTTCTTTGTTGGGGCGGCGGGCATTAATCGGAATTGCATGCCTTTTTGCTGACCGCGCTCGTGCCCATGAATGGTTCTGCTCTCCTTTATTACATTTTATTTATTAGGAGCACATACAGTCAACTCCAACCCATCTTGCAAGGTAAAACGCGTAAAAATCACGAGCGACCCAATTTTCGTGGTGCAAAAGCTCGACGCACCACACTACACCAAAAGATGCACGCTACCGTACCGTACCGTAACCCTAAATTCAGATGCCTAGTTTTCGAAAGTTCACTTTCCCTTTCGAGAGTTTTTCTTCCGTGTTTTTGTTGTTTTTCGTGTTCTTTTCATTGCATTGGATGACACGCACACTACTGGAATGTGCATTAAAGGAAATTGCGCCAGGGTCGTTAAGAGAACGCGCATGGAAAGGTGTGACTCCAAGGAGCCGACTTTTCTTTATAGATTCTTGAGACTCTTCATTGCTTTTTCTTCTTACTTACGCGGAATTACTCCATAGTACTGCTTCACCTAATTGAACAAGCACACTCGTCCTTGATACTTTTATCGCGTGAGCTGTCTTTCAGGATAGCACAGGCGGAGTATAGATACGGCACCTGGGTATCACCATACTCCAGCCCTATTGCCGTACAATTTGAGAACAGAAAGTGGCACGCTGCCTACGGACCTATTAGCCTCGCATCCGCGAAATTAGTTGTACAGTTTGACTCTAGTTTGCCGATTACGACTGCTTCTCTCTCACCAAAGGACATTACGCTATCCGATGTCAAGGACTTAACAAAGATCCGACGAAACAAATGAGGCTCTGAGCGCATTTGCAAAAAAAAGTGTTCTGCGCACGCCTTACAAAATGATGAAAGATCACTTTTCATTGTGCAGCGGTGATTGTTCCTGCGATGCAATTTCTGAGACACATCTTCTTTGAGAGCTTGACGACACTGCTCTTCGAAACATGGCACCAAATCACAGAATGCTGTGTTCCGAAAGATCGACAGCATGCAGTGAAGACGATCAATGCCACCCGTTGCTTCCAAGTTTATGCATGCATCCTTTCTGAAAAGAAAAGATTATTGAACAAAATGGCAGGCAATTCATTTCCACTCTGAAAATGTACTAACATAGCGTGTACGTCGATGTTATGCAGAAGAATTGTTAAGCTCTCGAATAAAGCTGCTCCAAGTCGGTTGCCAGTGGATTCAATTATGAGCACGGTGAGGATGAAACCTTGAATGTAAACCTGCCAGGATCCCTGAAAGCCGTAGCTATCATGTCATGTCCTGTTCAGCATTTTCAAGGCACCGTGCGATTACCCGACAGTTGAATGTTCAGCGTGTACAAGGCGGCCAGTCGTCCACAGCCGCAGAAGTAATAGCTGTTTCCACTCGGACATATACGGTAATGAAGCTTAAAACTAATGGCAGCTTCATGTCCCACGTGTCTCGAGCTGCCATTCGAAACGCGACTGGAAAAAACCGCCACACCATACGATCAGCCATCCTTGTTGCATGCGTCTGGCCCTATGGCGTGGCTGTTGCGCATCGCGTATTGGGTGGCGGGGGCGTAGAAAGTCCGTAATCAAGCGGTCACAATTCTCAAGGTTCATTACCACGTACTTTATGTTAGTGAAAGTAGTAAACCTCTACGGCTGTGGGTCTTTCCACCATGTACACAAAAAGGATCCACCTCTCAGATAATCGCAAATCGTGCCTCTAAATTAGCCTCACATCATGTATAGTCTCCGTGAACAGTTTCACAGCCCGATCACCTAATTTAGATACGTTGTCTGGGTGTACGAATTGTTTGATAATCGTCTCCATACCAGGTTGATGATTATTGAAGTTCTAAAAACCGAGAACTACCGCTGAACCTTGAAATAATGAAATAAAAAGCTGGTAGATATTACCTGTACATCCTTCTGACCTTGCTCACAAATCAAGCGAGGAAGATGACGCAGCACAAAAAGAAGTACTGGCAGATCAAGAGTCTCTTCAGCGCCACAAAAATGCTCAGATATGAGCAAAGAATATGTGCCAGGTAAAAACGACTGTGACGGGTGGCGAAGAAAAAATTCAGAAAACAAAGTGATGACTTTTGACCATTCGCTCTCTATTCGACCCAACATCTTCAAATCAAGAGTCCATGGACATTCTGAATAAACAAGTAGTGTGTATGGTAGGGCATTTGTGAAATCTGAAAGGAACAATTGGGGCAAGTAAAAATTCACAAGTACTCGTAATAGATTAGATCTCACAATAATTCTAAAATCGAAAACCATTCTGGATTTTGCTGTGCCTGAACTCATGTATACAAGATTTCCTGACTTAAAAAAACGAGTTCACAACGCGGAACATCATGAGCCTCAAAACTAGACAAGAGGTTCCCAAATAGTTGAAAGTTACCAGTCAAATATCTGTCAATACCTCGCGACCACTGCTAATGACCTACTTTAGCAACAGTAATTCAAAAACGAATGCATCAAAAAAGTGAAATTTATGTTGAGCTTTGGCTATGCGTTTCATTTCAAAAGAGCATACCCACCTGGATTTCTGTGAACTAGAGTTAACAAGAGTGATGTGACATCATCCAGCAGAATAAAACTCGAATTTTCACTAGAAATGGTAAAACTTGCGTTCACTCCAACTTCACTAACACCTTTACAGGGAGATTAGACTTACTCTGCAAGGATCCTATCCAAAAGACTCATGGTCTGCCTAGCGAAGTCTGTAGCGTGTGTCTTTTTCAGGAAATGGGAAAACTCCTCCAGTATTGTGCACTCTTCCTTACACAGTCTAAATAATTAGCTAAGCTATACCCTTCAGAATGAAGCCTGAAAACGATCCTTGAATGAATGATACCTTTCCATGACTCTCGTCCCTATCACTTTCTCATAACAGTCGAGGCTATGTCTGAAAATCTGAGCAACCAGATGGGGTCGGTTGCTGCGACCGCCAGAAATGATTGTTCGCAGAAGAAGCGTTTTTTGCTGTCCTCCTCTGCTGAGAACGTCTTGAAGAAGTTTCGCCTGGAATAACCCATAACTTCTCTAATGACTTCAACTTCCTCAAACTTGTCAATGGCGCACCTGGAGATCCGCTCCAATCAGACCGCCCTGCGACAAAGTGATATATGTGGATTGAAACTCGCCAACTATTTCTGCATTTAACAGATTTTGTATCTGAAGAAAGATGTCTGCAGACCCACAAGTAATACTATACAGCAATACCCATCTCACTCTTTGAAGACAAACTGCGCACTCACTTGCTATACGGTACTTAAAATGTGCGCGGTAAATGGGTCCGCAGCTACAGCAACGTGCCTTTTTCTCCTCCCAAAAAAGCACAGGGGCAGGGCTGGAGGGTATGATACCAGGATGCCGTCTCTCAACCCGTGCTATGCTCAAGGTGCAGCACTTACGTGGATACCGAAACCCCACACTGAGCCGTGAGAGAACAACCACAAGTGAGAGGGCACACACTAGCGGGTTTAACAAAGTTTAGGTCTGATGCTGGCAGTGCGGAAGCGCGGCTAACGTCCGGAGATGGCCCCCGGTGTAACTCCCGTGCACATCTAAACAGACAAAGTGGCAGAAAGGCAGAAGCAAAGTGGAATTGCAGGACAAGGATCAACCGAGGTGAGTGGATAGTGTAGATCATGTGAAACCGTGGGTTTTTTTTTCACAAATTTGATCAAATAACGGACAAAACAGATGCTAAAAAATATCCAGTATCTATGAAACCAGCAGTGATTTCCGTGCATGCATGTTGGTATGAAACAAAATACTATGGCGATCCGGTCACAACCTCACACGCTGCTCGCTCTGGCCTGCTCAACAACTCAAGGGCGCCGATGTCGTGCCCCCTCTCCTCGCAGCCTAATGCCGCTGGACGCGGTGTGTTTCGGCTGCCGGCTCATTTATGAAGTGCCTAGATCATCCGATCTGCTGAAAACTTGCATACAGTGGTTATTAAACATCCTAATTACGACAATGACATTCGTTCTTAGCGCTGGCGTTAATGGTAGACACTACGACTACTTTCTGGGCTCAGCCAAGCAGAGCGCAGATAATCGTAGTGTCATCCATTAGCGCCAGCGACAAGAATGAATGTCATATTCGTAATCAGGATGTTAAATTACCCCTATATACAAGTTTTCAGCGGATTTGGTGATCTAGGCACTTCATAAATGAGCCGGCAGCCAAAACTCAGCGCGTCCAAACGGCATCAGCCCCTTTGCATAGCCAATCGGGGATCTGTGCGACTATGCTTTTCCCCAGTTTGCATTGCAATGATCCATTCAGTGAACAAAAGCAACAGGGCTAACCTTTTCAACGACATCGCAAATGCACTTGTTGCACTTAGACATGTCTCGGGCATTAGCCAGTAGTCGAAGCAGAAACTCAATTCGTTTGGATATCTGTAATATTTTTATTATCAGGTTACCATTACCTTACGACCAGTGCGCTTTTAAAGAGTCTGCGCATATTTTGTTGACTAGGTGCGTTCTACTTTGCGTGAGCGTCCACTAGCGACCACTAGCGTTTCGAGGGTACGCCAGCGCCAGCGACTAGGAATGTACAGATATCAATCTAGCGAACGCCAGCGTCTATCAGCGCCCACCAGCCTACAGCAGCGTTTTCGCGGGCAATTTTGCTCAAGTTCAAAAGTGCCTGCACAAACGCTGGAGGACGCTAGCGGTTGCTGTTGGACGCTGGCGCAAAGTATGAACGCAGCCCAGAGAGATGACGCTCATGCAAACCTCGACCATCTCTGACACAATTTGAGACTGCACAGCAGACTGATGGTCCAGCATGGCCGGTACTTGTTCAAGAATACATTCAAGCCAGTTTCCTGCGACCGTGTCGTCGTTTGTTGCTGAAACAACGAAGTGAGTCTCACAAATAGAAGTTCGAGGCAGATGAAACTCACGTTCCTCTGGAGAAGCAATGGGAACTGCTTTGGAGGTAGCGATAACCTCTTTTGCACCCTGTTCTATATGCTGATCCAGCAATGTCAGCAGTCCATTGACTGCGCTCCAAAGCGCGAAGGGTAGTTGGCTGCATTTCGCAGCAGTGAAATCGATCCATACCGACAATCCCTCTAATGCTTTCACCAATCGCATTAACTGCGTGGGATCCCTTGAGCTCTAAATTAAACTAGATTAAAGTTCGGGAACAAGGGCAAAATCTATAGAAAGAACCTTCAGCAACAGTCTCGCAAAACTGTTAAATATGTGCTCAAAAGTCTCAGCGTCATTAGAAGAAAACGGAGCAGATGAGCGAATGACACTCTCGACAAGAGAGCATCCCAACGGTAAATCAACTACGAGGATAGCACCAGTGTCAGGGGCTGACATTGCGCTGAAAAATAAGTAATTCAAAACAAAAATAAGTAAAAATAATTCAAAATATATAAGCACAATGCCCAACGAAATCCGAAAAAGTTCGAGCTGTACCTGTCCAGACATGCCAAAGCTCCAGCTATGAAAGGGATAGCAAGAGTGGAAGTAGAGGGTCCAAGTGAAACCCAATCACTATCTAAGATTTCATACACGTGGACGGCATTGTTCAGAATGATTTCGTCTCTAAAACTATGATCAAAAAGGCACTGCGACAGGCTCGGGTTTGAAAAAACAAATAGACAAAAAACTAACGGAGCAGGACGCTTATCGGCCAGAAGCTGCTCTACGCACAGAGATAGGCGATCTCGAGGCCACAGTGAATTGAGTATGCGACCAAGTAATCCAGTGCTAACCAAAGAAGAACGGTTACTGCGCAAAAGGAGGCTCTAGAACACGTTTGCTACATGATTTACCGGAGTACAAAAAACAGTAAAATGTCTTAAAAGCTACCTCTGCTTTGTTGCTTTCAGATGCGGCTTTGAAAGCTGTTTCGCTAGAACGCTTCCAAATATCCGTTGGACAGTAGCGCTCAATCAGGTCAGCAGGAAGGCACCGGTTTTCGGAGAAACAGCTAACTATATCAGCCCATTCTTCCGGTCGGAAGGACTGAACAGAGATTGCAGAAAAGCGTTCAATAAGTTGACGGCAAACTGATGCATGTTGAGCGGCGGTGGTTAGTGAGCCTGGAATAACGCATTACTTATACTTTTGATGGGATACGACACATGTTTGTGAAGAAATCGAACCGTGAAATAACACTGCATGATTTCATGGTGATGTTCATGTGAAATAAATAAAAAGGGACTGTGAAAGCAGTAAACTTCCCAAGTCCAATGAGCATTTTGAAGGAAATAATCAATGCTTCCAGAGCATATAAAAATTGCTAGTGATTGGTGAACGTCTAGCTACCACAACTCGAAAGCTTCGTCATGAGGCACTTGATGGCTTGCAACCGTGAAGCCTCACAAGATCGATACTCAAGCAATCATATCGACATTAGAGGTTTTGAGCGTTGCTGAGAGACGCCCGCAATTTGGGCGAAAAGAAAGTACTGTCCTTTTCGCTCGAAACGCTGGCATTTCTCCAAAACGTCAGTTCAATACCACGCGAAAAGCATGGCAGCAGTCTTAGGCTTTTCTTTTGCAAAATCATCCTCGACTTCCTAGCAGAAGAGCAAGTCAGTCGGAACAGCACTACCGCCTCTAGATGGAACAGAACTAATCTCCGTTTCTGTGAGCAAATGAAGTGAAAATTGTGCACGAATCAGAGAGGGATTGCAGGAAATCTTAGTGTAATTCCTCCAAAGAGGAATTCGAGTAAGAGAGAGAGATTCAACAAACTAGAAGCATATGGTTATGCTAAAAATTAGTCATAGAATGAAAATTGATGAAGCCTTTAACAAGTTTCCGACTACTGCTGCGAGAAAGGGAAGGTAGAGGCACGTATTCCACTTCCATCCGCGTTCCCTGGTGACTTAGAATGTATGAATGGTACTTAGCCTCTAAAGCGACCCACATGGGATGTTCCATTCAGGATTTCAAGTTCTCAGACGAGTACGGTAAAGAAACTACGTGTCTCTGAGTACGGAAGTTTCGGTCGGCCTGAGCTACAGCCGATCCGGAATTTTAGCCACGGACAGCGCGCGCTGTTAGCGGGTCACTTGCTGCTAGATCAGCTCCGTGCCTAACAGAATCAGTGAGCTTAAAAGAAAATCGGGCGTCTCAATTACTGGTAATTATTTCATTACCGGAAAGTCCTGCGACACTTTGATTGAATTGTTCTAAAAAGACCAAAAATCATTTTGGATGTTTTTATCCCTGATTAGTGGAGACTGTCCTCTGGGGTTTCTGCACATGGGTATATCATGACTTTGTGGAAGTTTTCAAAGCTTAAAAGTCCCTCAGAGATCGAGGTACTTTTCGACCTATCCCATATTATGAGTTCCTGTAGGGCCACTCAGCCGTAGTCGAGGAAGCTATACCTATGTCTTAAGGAAGGATATCGCTTGCCATGGCAGAGGGTAGCTTTTGCATCAGCGCTTCCAAGGCTGGACTTATTTAACTCGGTAGGCAATGTATAGGTCGGCCACCAGCACAGAATGACGGCCCTTTACTCAAGCTTCTTGAGGCGCAGCCGAAACCAGTAAGTTGGCAACCTCTCTAGGCTCCACCTAACTGACAACTGCCATGCTTCTCCGCAATCTCGGTTATCGGAAAATTTTTTGTGAAGGATGCCTCATGAGTTGGACCCGTCTGACAAGTCATACCGAATGACCGTGACTGAGTTTTCGTTTGCTTGTACACACTGGAAGAACATTTGTGAGATTTTTTGGTTGGTAGCAAACATGTCCCTCGCAGGATCTCTCAAACAGAAAAGTAGATTGCTTAGCCAAAAGCAGATGTGCATGGGATAAAGATTTCAGTGTGTTATTGGTGGGACTTCAAAGCGGTATCACTGGATACTAGCACCGGTAAGGACCACAGTCCACCTTAATCGACTTCAAAATATGGATGACGTCACGCTTGAATTCATTCAGAAATACTCAATTTTTCTCTACTACTCGGCAATGCGAAGACCGCATGTGGGGATCAGGCTACGCCAAAAGATCATGGATCTCGATCAGAGAATGCGACCGTACCCAGCTTATTCACCAAAGTTAGCAGCCTCTAATTACCACCTCCTTTGATCCCTACCGCATCCTTTAGAAAGCAAAAATTCCGAAAATCGACGTCTACTCGAAAATGAGGTCCACCTCTTCTTTTTATCATAGTTGCCGTAGTTCTATAAGAATGGAAATGAGAAGCTGTGCAAAAGTTGGCACTATTCCTAGTCATCAATGGTGATTACCTCGTAGATCCTCAGTTAAGAAAATATGGTCCGAAAATTTGGTCAAAGTGTCGCTGGACTTCCCGTCCAACCTAATATAATAGCTTCTTGTGGGAGCGGAGGTAAAGATAACTCGTTAAAAACTTCCGAACCAACTTCTTGAAGGATTGTGCTTAACTACCAAGAGAGACCGATTTCCCGTAAAAAATTTTGGGAAAATTTTTGTACAACTCAAGGGGAGTTTATCGCAATGGTCTGCTCGTAACCCTAGCGAACCAGAAATGTATATAAATAGGTATATTTGTATAAATACTTGTAAAAATTAAACTCACAAATTGCACCGCCGAAAACCTGAGACGATAGAAATATTAGTTTGCTTGGAGTACATTCCTCCACCAACTGACTACACACCGAAGACAGAAGGCAACTGTCTATCCTCTTCTCTAGCATAGGTTGGATAGCGCAGTGGCCTAAGACTCTTAACTCAGGAAACGGTAGCAGAACATGACGTCTTTTGTTAGCAGACAAGTGGTGGTCTATGAGCAGCCCATAACAGTATCTTTCTTGGAGAAATCACGTAAAGATTTACTCCAAATTCAACAACAAGTAAATAGCAGCAACAATAACAACAAAAAATTATTTCAGCTTTGACAACAATAACAATGAAGCATTTACAACGATGTCATTAACAATGAGATCGATAGGGGGCGAACGCTCAGGAGTGAGCTGAGAACTTTGTGACTGGCTCTGGGAGCTGTACGGCGGACTATTTTTTGATTCTTCGAAAGTGAGCTGACTGCTGGCACTTGCGACATCATCCTCGCAGTGAACAGCGTTTTTCTAGAAAGTATCAGTGGTTGTACAGTACAGTTTTACTGAGCATGCTCATGTCCGCGAAGAAGGAACTCTCAATATCAATTTCCCAAAGGGTAAGCCACTAGAAGAACGTACCGAAGAACGTAGAAGAAAGGCCAGCGGTTGTTCGTACTGATCCAGTTCGTTGTTAACCGCGCTGACAATTCTGTTTCGTAGTATCTCACTGGCTACCATGATTTTATCGTAGGCGCCACACTTACAGAAAGTGGGTGAAGGCTGGCTAGCACTCCGAACTTCCATGTCCATCATGCCATTCGCACTGCCCTCGTCGTCAACATCGAATTCCATCTGACAAGAATTCTTTCAAAATGATAAGAGATTCAATCAATTCACTGCAGCTATGCAATACCATGACTATGAAAACATCGCATCTACAATTCATAGGAGATTAGAGCGCGTTCATACTTTGCGTCGAGTTCCGAGTGCATTGCGCATTTTCAGTGGACGTCACCGTATTGAGCAGCTAGAAAAGTATAGGTAGTGAAGCGAAACGCTGTCGCACGCTCAAAACGCAAGGTAACGCTCAAACGCAAGGTATAAACGCACGTTTGGCCTGAAAAGCAACACCTGCCGCACTACGTATGTCGACACAGACCATGGGAATTTCACAGAAATGATCAACCATTCCCCATATTTTGTGGTAGCGGCAAAGGTGCTAGTCCTGTGTAGGGAACTATTTTGTGAAGCCTTGTCAAGACTCAGAGGAAGGAGAACCTCTTATCCATATGAATTTCGAAAATCACTCCTTGTACAGGGCAATGGGGTCACAAACCCAAGAAATCCTTGCTCCCTTCATACTTATAGTTTCCGCAGAAATCCTCATTCCTGGCACACAAACGTTTCTTCGCACTTAGCTTGCGTTCATGCTTTGGGAAGACACAATATGTAGGATTAGAGCAAAACCGAACGATTCGCCGCTATGGGAGAACACGCGTCTTCCTGAGCCTTTCGATCGAAACATGCTTTTTTGGGGGTATGTGACAAGAGAATCGTAATTCACCGCGTTGGTGGGCGTCGCGTGCGACGTCGCGCTCGCAAATGACGATGGTTCCAGGTAGAGGATGGCGACAACAAGCAATTCAGAACCGAAAATAGTCATGAATGTCTACGATGACGGGGTCTACATGAAGTCCGGTGCTCCAATCGACAGGTTAACACGAGTTAGAAACTGTCGCGCCCATCGCCGCGCGCGGCGATGCGGCAAATTACGATTCTCTTGCCCGTCTCCCCTTTTCTGGCGCGAACCACGGTTCTCGTATTACCCGTCGTAAATTATGAACGCAACCTAAAATTGTCCAAGAAGAAGTGTGGCATGATGGTACGAAGTTGGGAAAATTTAGGGAAATGATGGGTATAATGGAGGATGAGGAAGGCGTGGTCGTACAAGAGAAGGAAATTTTCACGGGTCGTATTTGGGAGGCGGTCGTTTGGTGCGATTACATAGCAGTTGACCTGTTCCAAGGTAACGTTACATGCCTACCAAGTTGGATACCTTGTCCGGATCACTGAACTATGAGGATTTCGTAATTTATAGCCTACCAAAAGTCACTACTGTTGGTTCTAGTGCTCATAGTTCTAAGCCGGGTTTTCTTCTAACGGTCACTCAGGGAAGTACACTGATTTGAAAGATCGGACGAGTTGTTTCATGTGAAGGTTGGTTTGCCTGACATGTTTTTACGCGTAGGCGACGAAAAATCGCGCCAAACGGCATACACCCGTCGTATTTTGCAAAAACTTCTCCTGACAGCAGGA